CCCCCCCGCCGGCAGCGGGCGGGGTCCCCCCCCAGCCAGTCGGGCTCCAGCGTCTGGTCTTGCTCTGGCATCTCCAGGAGCAGTGGGTCAGAGAGCTTCAGCCGCTCAGCTAGCTGCAGAATCAGGAGGGCAACGGGACTCATCTCAGGCATGGGGGAAGAAATGCACTTCATATCAGAGGGGTGACAGTAACAACCAGCCTCTTGGGCAAGATTTATTCCCTCTCCTGCATTGCTTCACGGCGGTGCTGGCCCATCCCATGCCCCACAGGGAGCATCCAGACAGGGCTATCTCAGCCACCTCCACAGAGGTGTCAAAGTACCCATGTCAAAGATGCTCTTCAGATTAGAGAGGCAGGTGACTATTACCATCTGAGAAAAACTAACACCTTTAATCTCACTTGAGAGCCAGCCTGGGGCACTGGCAGTTTTGCAGGGCATCCCACCAGCAGGCCTGCAGAGAGCTCAGCTCCCAGGGCTGGGCATCAAGCCCTTGCCTAACCTACAAGGATGGATGGGAGCTGACAGGACTTGAGCTAAGGGCACACCCGGCTTTGCAGGAAGCATCACCATCACTAATAACCACACAGAAAACAACAGAACTGCAGGGCTGTGAGGGACCTTCTGAGGTTACCTGGTCCATCTGCCGATGCTCGAGAAAATCCCATGTGTCCACACCAGCCCACATTTGTCTAATTTGCCCATACAAGTCTCCAAGGAGAAGATTTCACAACCTCCTAGGCCTGTGCTGATGTTTAATGTTCTTAGAGCTAAGGAGTTTTTTCTTAATATCTAAGCGAAATCTTCCCTGCTGCAAATTAAGCCTCTCTATTCCCGCTGCTGTAGAAGCTGCGGGGACGGTGAAGCACCAGCCCCTGAAAAGCAGCCTCCTGCATGCCAGAGGGTTGTTATCACATCCCCCGTACACCTTCCTCCCCCAGCCTATCTTGCCTGGAAAAAAATAACACTGAGGCCTTCTTTAGAGGTCATTTCCCCCCCTCAATCTCTTATCACACCTGCTTTTCTCCTCTGCACTTGCTCCAATTTGGTCCTGCCTCCCAGTGCAGCATTCCAGACAAGGCACAGTGCCCCAGCCAAGACCCAAACATGGGGGGATTATTGCCTTCTTGTCTCACACATGCTGTTCTTGCTCTCAGAGCCCAAAATAACGTTATAGCATTGCCTTTTTTTTTTTTTTGCAACAGCATCCTGTTATGTTGCTACTCAGTATTTTTTCCATGCTCCACTATCTCCCCCAGGTCCCTCACTGCAGTATTGCTGCTGCGTGTTTAATTTCTCCTGCAAGAGAGGGGTCTGTGCCACCCTGGCTGCATCATCTCAATGACATGTGGCTCCAGCTACCATCAAAGGAGCAAAAGGCTCTTCTGGGGCAACCCATCCCACCAGCTCAGGGTGTGAGGGAGGGCTCCCTGCAGAGCTAAAGCCCAGTCTGGAGAAATTGCTGAACCCTGACAAGGGTTCAGTTTTAAGACAGGTGGATGAGGGACGGCACTCAAGGAACCACTCTTCATCTGAGTCTTCACTGAATTTTCTCTTACTGGTATTGTCCCAGCTCTCAGGGATTTATCGGGCTCTCCCTTCCAGCTCCTTTGCACTCATTTATCTTCTGCAAGGCTGCAGCACCAAGGGCCACCAAAAGCCATCCAGAGGTGACCTTGCAGCTCAGTCACCTGCCGCAGCCACACAGGTCTCAGCTCTCTCCCCCACGCACCAGTCCCCAATGGCCATTTCTTCCTATTTCCAAAGTTTTTCAAAGCAAAGTCCAAACCAGCACGAAACACAATTCCCAACTCTGGGAGGTTACAGCAAGATATGACCCGTGCAGCTGGAGTCTAGCCTGGGACAGGGACTCCACAGAGAGCAGAGGAACCCAGCAGCCAGCCAGGAGCTGGTGCTACATGTAGACCCACTGTCCCACCTCTTTGCAAACATCCTAAATCAATTGCAGGAAAGAGGAAATTATAAGCATGATTACTCCTAAATGGTGGGAATGTTTAATCCAAAAGCTAATGTGCACTTTGATCCAATATTAATGAACCAGCACCTGGTTGTATATCGTCCCCAGCTTCAAAAGAGGGTAAGTCTTAATCAAACACTAATGTGTATCATAATTTGTAACACAGTCTAAAACATCAAAGACAAGAGTGTCTACGAATGCACTAGTTTTTCAGATGAAAGTGTTTTCTCCCAGGAGAAGCATTATCCCCAGCAGAACGGCAGATCTGAGAGGCTGTTAGACAGTAAATAGATTTCGGCGACGGAGTGGGGAGGGGGGGAGATGCGTGAGCCATGTTTTGGGCGATTTCTGCAGCACTTGCTTCAGACGGGCATCCTCGCTGCCCCCTCATCTCACAGCACCACAGCTTTTGCCCTCCTTCCTGATGGAGGAAGGCTTCAAGCAGCCTCAGCAGGGTCCTGGTGATGTGCATGGAGTGGGCAGATCCACTCTCCGGAGACCCCAACCTACCCTGGAGGACCTGGGACACTTTGCTTTATCCCTCTCTGCACTAGAGCTCCACTCGTGAAGCAGAGGAACTGGGCTCAGTGCTGCAACCTGGGACATGCTTGTATTCACTGTTACCCCAAAAGAGCCTCATGAAGCTAAGGGGGAATCACAGGGTTATATGCTGGAGGGGAAATGTCAAGTACTCAAGCTTCAGCTTCTGAAGTCTATGCCATTTAAAAGTTCAAAAAGCCTCTCCAGAATAATAAAACATAACACAATCCTTTTCTTCCAAATAACTTTGCTCCTACTTGACAGTCAACACAATTCCTTTATTTTCTACTCTAAATCCATGGGTAGGAGAGATTTTGTGGAGATGTTGGTTGTGTTGTGCTCAGCGAACCCTGGGGGGCTCCTCAGAGCAGCCAATGGGAAACCCCCAGGATGCTTCCCACCACACCAGGTCCTGAGTGGGTATCACGCCCTGACAAAAGGATGCAGGGCAGGTACGAGACTCACCTTTGCCACTTGCCGGGCCAGGATGGGATGGCTGGCCGTATCTTGTCCCAAGAGCATGGTGGCAATCTGCTCACAATATTGCAGAGCCTGGGCTGGGAGCCCATGGTCAGCCAAGCGAGAGGCATAGAGGAGCTTGTACACCTTGGGAAAGGGAAGCAGAGCAGACATTCATGAGCAAGGCAATGCACATATCTGTGGGTCTCCTCCTCCACTGTGGCACATCCTTCCAGCGTGACTCAGAGCACCCCAGATCATGGGTCACATCACCCAGAGGTCACCTACAACTTGGGGACACCTCCACCCATCCCCATGGGGCTTGTCCAGACTCACTCCCTGAAGCAGAAGATGGGTGGTGGGGAGAGCGCGCCAGCCCACCGTCTTCACCTGCTTTGTGCAGCGGCTGGGGTGCTCATTTGGAAGATGACCCAGAGAGCAAGCAGTGATCAAACACACCATGTCCCAAAACCTGCCCAAAGCCCTGCTCTGGAGGAGGCCCTTGGCCTGGGCAGTCTCTCCATCATTCCCAAAGCCCAGCAAGGGGACAAGTCTTGGTGAGCAAGCCTGAATCTCTGGCTTCAGGGGGACAGATGCATGTTTTGGGGGCAGGTCTGAGCTGCTGCTGCACCAGATGTGCATCTCCACTACCTGGAAGGGCAGCAGGAAGGATTCCGGCTGTCGTAGGTGCTGGCAGTACTCTAAGATTTCCATCCGCTGGATAGCCTCTGTCCTGGCAAACTGGGCAAACGCCTGGCTACGGAGAGCAGGGGTAAGTTCAGCAAGCAGGAGCAGAGATCCCCCCAGACAGCCCCACACACAGATTCACAGCCCCACCACCGTGTCAGCCTGCAGCCGGAGAGGCCCAGAGCAAAGCTCATATGAAAAGCAGTAAAAACCCAAACAGGGATTTTCTTTTTTTTTTCTTTTTTTTTTTGCATAAAAGTGAGATCCCAGGGAAGAGGAGAAGGTAGGATACACCACTCTGGTGACAACACCACCTCTTGGGCTCACTCACCGGTGGCTACTGCCCAGCAGAACCATGCGGTCCGCCTTCACCCCAAAGTAACCAAAAGGAATATCTGCCATCAGGTAGCAGAAATGAGCTGCTTCGACTGCTCCCTTACTAGCTGGATAGGAGGGGAAAAAATACCAAAACAAAAAACAAGACAAACAATCCTGAGAGATCACCGTATTGTCAGCATCTCTCTGGAGGCCCCCAAAGCTCACAAAATCCAAACCCAACCATCCCACTTTTCTTCCCTGTCCATGCAGACCTTGATACCTCCCCTCTCCCTACTTTTTTTTGTTTTCTCCAGTTGTTGCTTTCTGTACCTAGGTGGGACCAGACGAGCCTGAGCAGGGTCTGGCTTCAGCTCTGCAGGGTGCCACTACTAGCGTGAAGTCCCTGAGAGTTCCCACCACTGTGAGCAAGTCTCAGTCCCTGCAGTTACATGAGTCCTCCCTGGGTCCAGCAGCATCTCCAAAAATTGTAGCTAATGGATGTGCTTGACCTTGACTCATCTGCCAGCCCGACCCATCCACACCTCATCCCCACCACTGCAGCTCCATGGGTACAGGCACTCACACCCCATCTCAACACCAAAGATGACCTGTGCCAGCATGGATGTGCACAGTGACATTGCACATGTCCACCCACTACTACAAGACAGCAAGAATATAAAAGCTCACAACAGCCTTAGCTCACCCAAAGTGTCTCCCATGGTGACAATGGCTCGGTGATTCAGCTCCATGTCCCCAACCTTGTTGGACAGCATCACAGCCAGGTGGGGCCTCCAGTCTCCCCACGTGGCATCCCCACAGCACTGCAGGGAGACAAGAGGAGAGCAGAGGTGGTCACCACAAGGTAGGTGTCACAGGCAGGTGACAGCATGGAGTACATAGCCCAGGGCCAGCCTGTTGCTCACAGACCAGTGCCGCCTGAGGGATCCTTCCTGACATGAGCTGAAAGAGGGTCTGCAGCGGGTCATTGGTGGCCAGCGTGCTGGTGAACCTGTGAGGAGACAGCAGAGAGAAGGCTGCCATGCCGGGACCCCAAACCCTTATTTACCTCCCAGTGCCTGTTCCAAATGCCCCATAAAAGCCAGGTCCTGAGGGACTTCCCAGAGAAGGCAGAACGGATCATCAGCCCACCAGGCTGATGACCTGCATTACCTCCAATGCAGGCAAGTCTCCCGGACGACAGTGGATAAAACCTCCTTAAAGGATACAGATAGCACAAAACGTAAAATTTTTGCTTAAATCTCCCTGAGGGGATCAAGCCAATCCAGACTAAGTACATTAATTCCAGCAGAAAACGTTCATATGAGTGGAATGAATAGCTCAGTCCAGGCTGGATCAAGGTGAAGATGGCTCAGCTCTCATACACCCATGGCTGCCTAGAAGAGGGCAGCAGGGGCAAAGACTTGAGATAAATCCACTGCACAACTCCAGGAAATGGCTTTCCCTCTGCTTTCCAGACCCCATTTGGTTTCTCTTGTCTATCAGAAGCCCAGAGGACTCAGACCCATGAAAGTTCCCTCCGAAAGTGTTCAGAAGAAATAAATGCTTTTTTTTCAGTGTGTTGGGACTGAGGGCACCGAAAGGGGTGACAGGCTTGGCAAAGCCAGTCAACAGAGCATCGTACCTTGCTTTAGCTTCTCCAACTTACCCGGTGAGCACCCAGCTATAAGTTCGAGAGTCCATCTTGCTGGAGAGGAAGAGAGCATGGCCCCACAACTGGTTTCTCATGGCCCAGACCAGAGCATCCTGCAGCCAGGGTGGAGAAGAAAAAGTGTTTGCATTAACTCTGCTTTTCCCTGCCAGAGCATCCTCTGCTCACACAGCTCAGAGATGAGCTCTGATGACTGCTCTGGCTTTAATATCCTCCAAAAAGCTCTTCTATGTTTACAAAGACCCCTTTATCTCACTAATTTGCACAATGACAAGAACCAGAACCTTCATAGCAATATTATCTTTCCTGTATTTCCAGGTCTGTGCTGCCATTAGTTTATCAATGCCACCACTGCGGTATCCCAGCCTGGGTACCCAAGCTTTTCCGTGTTCACCCCTCCTCCCTCTCCTCGTGCCTTCAGCATCCCTCGAGGTTACACAGCTGCAGCTAAACCCACAGTGTTTCTGCATCTTGTATTCAGTCAGTGCCCCAGCCCAGTGCCCCATGGTGGGAAATCACTGCCATACTGTTGTACAAACATACTGAAGTGTTGATACCACAACGCATCTCTTGACCTCTCCCCACACTTCTTCCTTTTAAAACCTGAAGAGGTCAAAGTGTCCAAGAGCAAAAGTCAGCCCTGCGCACCCTGGATCCCACTCACCACTTACTTTCTTCCTGCCATAGTAGAGGAGTTTGGTGAACTTCTCCACTATTTGTGCCTGGGTTTCCACAACAGGAGGGACCTCCCCAGTGATGAGGTCCAGTGTCCCTGGTTGACGCGACATCCACTCGTCAGCTGTCAGGCCAATCAGATTTGCTGCGAGGTCTTGCCTCTTGTACTTCCCCTGGAGCCTGCAGTCTTGCATCAACAGCTCAGCAGTGTCCGAGCCCACCATGGACTGTGAAAAGGAAGGCAAAGATCAAGGCACATGAAGGTTGCCCCACGAGTGAAGGCTGATGACACTTGCAGTCCAACACCCTTACACTCCTGTCCTCATGCCAGTGCATCTCCCCAGCAAGACCAGCCTTGGCCACCAGCAAACAATTTTTGAGGGCAAAGGATTCAGCACAACTAGCAAGACCTTCACAGTGCTTGCTCTGCAGATCTGATTCATTTGCTTCCAATAAGCAGCCACAGATGAGGTTAGGTGGGTTTCACTGGGTTAAAGGAATAATCCCCACTTAAGCATAAATGCCAGTTGCAAAATGAGGGTGGTGTCAGTCTCCTTCAGAGCTGCTCTATCTTTGGGTTGTTGGTAGCTCACAAGGATGAAAAAAAGCAATCCAGAGGAAGGGTTTGCTCCAGTATCAAACTGATTGGTGGTACTGTGGGAATGGGATGCTTTTAAGGTACCACCCCGAAAATAGCAGCTGGATCTGTGATTCTGTGATTTTGTGATCAAGAAGATCATAAGGGTCATATAACTTGTCTCACTTCCAAGATCAAAAGCGTCAGCCTCTTCCCTTGGGACACCTACCCCATTCTGTCGGCAGAGGAGGATCAGGAGTTTCCAGAGAAGAGCTGAATCTCTCCCTGTCTGTGTTGAGATATCGCAGCTCATGGCTATCTTCTGCTGGCAAAATGTTATCACATCCACCTTGTGCAGATCTTCCCTGAAGCAGCAAAGGCAGCATCAAAAGAAACACAGGGTAAAGCAATATAGGTCATCATTCAGATTCAAAGTGTCCCCAAGATCACTGATGGGGATGACATTCAAAGTGAGAGTCCAAGAAGGTCCCCAGCATCAACAATCACATACCACCCTGGCAACACCAAGCTCAAAAGTACTTGAATTTGATCATTGTTATGATTCTGCAGATTTCTGTACTTGAATTTGATCATTGTTATGATTCTGCAGATTTCTGTGTTTCATTCAGGGCATCTCAAAGTATGTCCTCTCTGCTCTCCTGATAATATTTTCGTCCATCCTCCTGCAAAGAACCTCAGTTTTGCTGCGCTGCTGTTACAGCTGTGGCTGGAGGAACAGACACACACACAGGCAGTATCTTTGATTAACTGTCGCATGCTTGTGACCACACAAACCCTTTGGGTCTTAAACAGAAGCAGAAACCTTTAAGCTATGTGCAAACCAGGCAGAACTGCTGTCTTAAAATTGAGGAAAAAAAAATAAATCAGGCAGCTGGAAAAGATGGCTGAGAGACAGGATCAGCCAGGGGAGAGGGACCAGGGAGACACTGATCCTGACTCAGTCACACAATATATCACACAGGTCTTCCCAACATGCCCTTCACCACAAGTAATCTCCAGCTTCTGGGTATACACAGCTCTTTTGCTCAGTAAATGGGTTTCCTCCTTCTGCACACTCCTTTTCTTTCTCTGCTTTGGTGGTGAGTGACCAGAAGACATGCTGGTGTGACCAGTACGATGCAGAGCCAACCTGATGCAATACACCAGGATTCATCCCCGGGCTCACACTGTGCGAAGGTGCACGCTGGGTCTGACTCTGTCACACTCAACTGCCTCAGGGGACAAAAACCTTTGGAAAAGCTAAACCACAGGTTGACCTAGGGCTTTCAGCATCCAAAGAGACTTCCCAAAAACTGGTTTTCTGGGACATGAGTACAAAATAAGGTCAGACATGCCCTATAAATATTCAAAAAACCCCACATCTCATACAATCCAAATCAACCTACACTGTGGCAAAGGGGCTGGGCTTCCATTCTGAACACAGATTTGGCCTTTGCAAATATCTCAAAACCACAGAAGACCATGAAGTCTTCCCTGAGCTCATGTCTCCTCCCAAAGGAGAGGTACTCCCAGGCCAGCCTGGGTGCACAGCCTGCCAGTGCACTGGCAGAAGGACCCAGATCCCAGACCTGCTGGTGTGACATACCTGGCCAGAGGCCCTGGGAAGGCCTGTAGCTCCTTCAGCTCTTCCGTGTCATGAAGGATTACCTAAAAAACAAGAGCAAATTCAGCACCTGGACTCCAGCAAGAAGGACAGCTCCAGCTGAGCTGGCTGGAAGTCAGTGCCTTGGCCAAGGGTTCAACAGTGTTGGTGAACTCATTCTCTGTGCTCTCTTAAGGTGACCCCAGAGCATAGACCGTAAACCATCACATGGCCCCCCAGTGCTAAAGTCCAGGAAAGAAGGCAAAACAGGAGACAAATGCTGTGGTAGATTGAGATACAGCTTCTCTATGGGAGGCACCTCAGAAAGGTGAGAAAAACTATTCTTCAGAGAGATATGGACCACATCGCTGTGAAGAGGTCACAGACAACGAGAGTTATGGAGCTGAAGGAGTAGGATGCAGGGCCCAAAGGCTGAAAGCAATGCCCAGGGACAGGCTGATATGATACAGACTTGAGAGTCCATGTGAGCTGGAGATAAGATGGCAGCAGGGAACAGGAAGGCTGATAAGGAGGCTCTTTGGGTGGCAAATGGTGTTTGCCTCCCTCAGGGCAAAAGGAGCCACTCCAGCAAGGGGTCCAGGAGTGGTGGCATACCTCCAGGCTGTGCAGTTCGACGTGGGCTAGCTGCCCCTGGGCAGGGCAGTGGGGACACGACAGTACCAGCTGCCCTCCAGCTCCAAAGCACACGGCCACATGCGGCAGCGAGAACTTGAGGGGCACCACCGGGGCTGGAGTGGACACCAAGGGCTCCCCTGCAAGGACACACAGGCCACCGTGAGTCCCTTCACCCCAATCCCATACCACCTCCATTACTGAGGATGTGACCAGCTCACACCCTGGTTCCCAACTTCAGTAACCTTTCATTGACCCCCTCCCGTGCAAAAACTGTCCTCTAAAGCAGAAAACATGCATGACTGCTCCTACACCCACCTGGGCAGAGCTGCTGGACCAGGTACCCGCCCCACAACCCCCTAGTCATGCTTTGCACCTACAGGACTTCCTGCAGGAGAGGACCAAGCTGCGAGACAGCAAACCTCCTAACACCAGCCTTTTTTTTTTGCCTTGTTCTCCCTGTGTCGGAAGAATAAAGGGTCCCACCACACCCCACCTGCTTGCACTGGGCTCCAGGTCCCCAAAAGCGTGGGGTCATAGTGGTCAGCATCATCACGAATGTACTGGCTGAGCTCGTAGCTGCTGGAGCTGAGCCCCGACTCACGGTACTGCATGAGCAGGCTGGGTTTGCCTGATGGCTGTGAGGAAGGGAGAAAACACAAACCTGGCTGAGAAACTAGGAACAGCACTGTTCTTCTGCTGCCACAGTGCTGGGGCAGGCTCTGCTGCTCCATGGAAGGGCCCAGCAGAAACAGCACAGATGACTCCCATCTGCACAGCTCAATCTCTTCAGCATCTTAGAGTCATCATGGCACATACTCTGGTCATACCCAACGGCTTTTAAAATAGCTCACATCCACCACTGGTCTAGTCCAGTGGCTTTCCTAGCCCTGATACAGATTCCCTGACATAGCAAGACAGTGCCTGAAAAATCTGAAAAAGGGTCCACCTAGCAGCAAAACCACCAGAGCAGCTTTGATTTGATATTTTATTTCGCTCTTTGGCAACACAATGATCAAGACAAAAACATGATGGACCAGACCCTGGTGGACAGAGCTAGGCGACCTAGGAAAGGTACAAAAGAACATCCCACCAAGCCTGGATTTTTGCCCAGCTCTTGGCCCTGAGCAGGAGCTGTGTACAGGCACATGTCTGGGAAAATAACAACACAGCAGATGGAGAGTTTGTAATCACCAATAACCCACTGTAATAAACCCCAAAGATGGTTAAGCCCTGGGTGGAACATAAAGCAGCCCTTTTCTCCTCAGCCTCCTTCCCAGGTGGAAGAGGGGCACATGGATTGCTCTCAAAATCTCTGGAAGATCCCTAAGCCTTTCGTTCCTCCGCCCCTGCCCGTCTTGAGGTTACCTCTCGGGAATGGCCACTGGCCTCTCCAGAATCGCTGCCAAGGGTTTCTCCCTGCACCTGCTTGGGTCGGGCAGATGAGACGTACCTCTCCTTGTAGGAGTCATAGGTCTGTGTCCTTCAGAAAGAAGCACAAAAAGATGCCCTGAAGGTCAGAGATTTTTTTGAGACAAGCCACAAACCTGCTAATTTTGCAGCAGGTGGGTGCACCAGGTGACGTTCAGAACCCCCACCTTTACCTGTCCTGCCTCAGGTGAGTTGTGGCCAGGTTGGGATGGTAACCCCTGTAGTAGTGCTGGTCTCGGTAATTGGTACCCTTGCCATAAGGCTCTCCTTGCCTCAGTTCTAAAGAGAGAATCAAGACTTAGCGTTGCCCCTCCAGAGGAAGAAGCCCTAATGAAGTTGTGAAAGAAAAGCAATGAGTCAGTCAATTTGCCATGCACACTCCATTTGTGTCCAAATTAGCCTGACACATTGGAGGTGTGATAAAGCCCTGTATAAGTTTGCCAACACAACACTGATGTCCTTTCCTCATTCCTCCCTCCCCTTTTCTTCAGCCCAGGACCTCCAGAAACAGCAAAAACAAGGCTCCAATCACTCTGATCACACAGCACCATTAGCATCGAGTTCAGCCTGGAACTAAGAATGACATGGGTTTTTAGCCGTGGAGATCAAGATCAAACATGTCCTTGGGTACACCTAGCTCCTGCTCCCACGTGCAAACCGGGGGCGGTGGTGCATGGGGAGAACAGCACTGACAGCCCAGGAGCGTGGGCAGGAAAAAACCCAGGAGACTTGCAAGCTCTGGGAAAAGAACTCATCCTGGAGAAAGTATCATGTCTTCTCTTGCAAGCAAATTGCCTCCAAACCCAAGGAATAAGTCTGTACCTCTGTCATCCTGCCAGACCACCGGCTGCCACTGCTGGCTTTGGTAGGAGTAGTCATCCCCGTAGCTGGCTGCTGGGTACTGCCAGTGGGGGTCTTCATAACCTTGCCTGAAACACAACACAACATCCTTTATCTGGGAAAGAAAGGGCACTGCTGCAGGCTCTGGACAACATCTACATTTAGACTCATGTCCCACATGGGACCTTTGGAGGCAGAAAGGATGATTAAGATAAAGTCAAGTCCCCTGTCCAGGTACCCTGCTCAGCAGCAGGATCAGAAGCTGGTCCAGCATCCTCCCTGGAGGGAGCAGCAGGCAGCAAATCAACCCAAATTGGATGAAGTACTCAGAGCTCCCTCTCAGCAAAGAGAGCGTCCTCCAGCCCACTTTTTATTCTTCCACCCTCTGCTGTTTCAGCACCTGAGCTCATAAGCTCCCTTTTGCTCCTGTATTACCATTTGCATTTTTGTCATTCACCTTGCACTTAGTAAAAAAGAATCGCATTTAATCAAACCTTCAAGAGAAAAGCACCTCGGGACTGAGCTGAAGCCTATAAAATGGCAATGGCAGAAGTCGTGAGAGAAGAAATCAGAGCCACAACTGCTACACAGTCTTAAATAACTGTTGGGCTAATGATCTGAAAGGTCTTTTCCAACCTGAATGACTCTATGATATAAAAGCCACTGGCTGATTTAATGGCTGGACATTACCTAACCACACTCTGCCTTCTCTATGCAGTGACAAAGACAGGATCTGTGTCTCAAAAGCCTGTGAGAGCCACGAAAGGGCCAAACCTTATTTCAAGAAGGTTTACGAGGAGTAGGGTGGGAAGGGAAGTTCAGCACGAGCGTCACAAAAATGGGCAGCTCTCACCTGGAGTAGGGCCTGTTGGGGTAGCTGCTTTCAGAGTGCTCAGCCCTTGAAGCCGGTCTGTGGGTGTCCCTCCAGGGGTGGTGGCCAGGGAGGTGACTCCCATCCCAGGACCCAGGCCGAGGCGAGGGCCTTGCACGGAGGAGCTGTCGCCGCAGCTGCGGTGGGCGTCCATGGGGCGCCTCTCCCCACATCCCCCAGGCTGCCTGCCTCTCTCGGGGCTGGGCCAGTTGGGCATGGGGGGCCCAGGGGTCCATCACAAGGTTGCTGACGAGATCCTCACTGGTTTTGGAGTGGGAGGGGAGTTTAAGTCCCAGATGACTTTGGTGGCCTGCAAGGAACAAGACAGATCACAGGGTGTTCAGTCAGTGGCTTTTCACCCCCCTCAAAGCCCCTCCAAGAAGCCTGTTGCCACTAACTCTCTGCTCTTGGGAGCCTGCTGGAAACAAAGCAGCCTTTCCAAAATGCCCAGAGGCGAGCAAAAACCATCTCCACATCTGCCTAAACTTGAAACTCCCCTTAAAACACCAGGATGAAATGGTCTGTTCCTGAAAGCAATCGGCATCCCAGCTCTTCCCAGGGCAAGAGGCAGCATCCACACAGCATCCTCCTGCGCCCCCAGCCAGCCCAGCAAAGCACCATCGCTCTCAGCTTCCACAAGAAGGTGCGAAATCAGCTTTACCTTTGTGACGAGGCGGTGAAACCCCATTTTATATGTGGCAGGGGAAGGGATATTGGCAAAGCTACAAGCAAGACAAGGAGAGTTACTCTTGAAGAAACAAGCAGGGACAGAGAGAAGCAGAAATAGAGCTTTGCTCACCCGAGCTGTGAGACGGGGTGGAGGCAGAGATTTCCCTCTTGCCTTTCGGCTCCAGCAGGACCACAGCAGCTCAGGCAAACACCAGATTTATTTGTAAGAGTCCCACACAGAAGAAGAAACCCTAAGAAGAGCCCAGGACAACTTGTGGGTAAAGCCTCAGCTGTTGCGGGGGGGATGTGACACCCTCAAGTCCCTCACATCTCCTTTTGCAGAATCGGTACCCAGACTGTCCCCACCACAAAGGCAGCTGGCCAGATGAACCACTTTTCACCCTTCTCACACCCCAAATTTAAGGCATTTTGTGGTCATTTCAGGGCTGGGGAGGGGGGGAACACACTCAGGTCTGAACAGAGAGGGTTCAGTTTGTGCCCCATCCAGGTTAAATCCTTGCCCTCAGTGCAAGCACCCCAGGCACAAGCATCCAGGCACCCATCATTCTGATCCTACTGAGGGTCCCCTAATTTTCCTAATTTTCAGCCCAAGGGAGTTCCTGCCACCCTCCACCCCGCAAAGCAGCCACACACACCTGCTCGGAGGCTGCTGGGGCCCTTCTTTCCTCTCCTCAGGCGCCGCTGCCAAAGTCCACTGCCACATGGGCCACCACGGGGGACAAAGGGCAACCTCCGCTCCTCCGCCCCAGACCAACTCCCTCAGCTCCTGGCGGGGTTTTAGGCTGCTGTTTGCATCCCTGAGGGTCACCTTCTCCATCACTTGGGCCCTCCTCTCACCCAAGGGATGGAGCACGTAGCCTTCCAAGCTCAAAAACAGTCAGGTATTTCTCCTGTGATTTTTCTTGCTGTCTTAGTGCCGTGATGTAATTATCCTCCTCTATACATTCTCACACTTCCTAAATAATAATAATAAAAAGCTGCCAACTGAGCTGTTGGGTTAATCCAGACACAGCCACAGCTCAAGCAAATAACATCCATCCCACCGGTCGCTGCTCTGGGCAGAATTTGGGCAGGATGGTCCACCCCAGTGCTGTCTCATCCAAGTCCTTACAGTGAGGCAACGACCTTACTCTATAAGCGACCTGTGATTCTTGCCTGGAAACCTCTTCCCAAATTCCCCTGGACACCTTAAAAGCAATTTTAAAAAGTAAATTAAGGCGAATGACATCATAGAAAACTGCAGTAAAAACTAGATGTAAGAGCCAGTGTCTTCTACCCAGCAGCCCAGTGACATGTCATCTCCTCCTGCTTCACCAGAGAGTGCATGCAGAGATCCTCACCCCCCAAAGCCTGTTTGCTGAGCGTGAGTAGGAAGATTTCAGCCCTAGGGCAACATGAGATGACCAGCAGAAAGAACTTTTTTTCTCGCTTTTCTTTCCGTCTTTCACATCCTCACGTTCCTGGCTTTCCCTGGCCTTGCCTGACAAGTCCTTACAGTGAGGCAACGACCTTACTCCATAAGCGACCTGTGATTCCCTGGCCTTGCCTGAGCGCCTCCAAATTACCTTGATCATGATGCTGTGACACTGACTGATTTGGGATTTATAGGTGGGATCCTATTCTTTGCATCATGGTGGCACTGTCAGATATAGCTTCAGAGCCTGAGATTTCCACCCTACTGAGAGAATAAGAGATTATTCCCTGGTGATCCCAAGAAATAAGCACTTGGTCTCCATATAACTCAAGGTTTCAAATAAAAAAATATCCTTAGCACTCTGCCATACCGAGAGCTGACTGGAAAAAAATCAAAAATCAGAGTAGCGCCACCTTCATGCTGCCAAGCTACTTCAACAGAACAAAGCTGAACATCTCCGATCCATTTCACAGCTACCCTTCCAAACTTTGGGAGGCTCTGAACAAATCAAAAGGTCTGTTATGGAAGTTCAGGTCTCCCAGGAAAGCTAGAAGAGATCCCTAGAGAGCACTTTATTAATATGTAAATATATCATACTCCCACTTGGCTGATGTTTAATAATTTTAGGTTACTAGCCAAGAGGTGACTGCTGGATGTTTCCACCCTGTTTTCTAGCAAACAGAAGAATTTATACTGGGAACCTGCAAGAGTACAACCAGCACGGCATGAAGAGCCTGAGAGCAGCTTCGGCTCCTCGGGCTGCTGCTGCCAACAAAATCCAAGTCACGAGGGAGATTTGGCTGCTCAACTTGCATAAAAGCAGTTTCAACTTGTGATGCTCGTGTTTGAGATGAGTGGAAACAGTGTACTGGTCCATGCTAGGGAAGGAAATGCAAGAAAAGCTACCAATAACATCAGGCTTTGAGCAAAAGTAGCTTAAAATGGGCAGCTGGGAAATACCATTTTAAAAGAAAATCTAGAAAAGTGCATTGGAAGAAGCGGGAGTCAGGGGAAGGAGCTATGAAATGAAAAGCGAAGGAACTAAAAAATGGAGATTAAATTACTAGATGGGCTAGAAAGAGGGAAAGAAAAGGGCAACCCTTAAACTACATCACTTCTAGCCAAGAAATTTCTATTTTAAAAAAGATTCATAGCTTTCTTGGAAATCTCTGTGCCATAGAACTGCTATGGAACTTATGGGACTATTGTGAAGCAGGCAGCACAGGCCACAGACAGCATTTGCCAGACAGCTGAAGGGACAGCAATATCTCTTTAAAAAACCCACATTTTTCCACTTTAAAAGGTTTCACTGCTGTTGTCACAGTAACAAGATTAGGTGGAAAACATTTTTCTTCATGCCCTTTGGGTGTTCGCGCAGCGTATTGGGGCTCTGCTCACAGCCAGCCCTGATGCTCAGGTCAGTCCCCCCCCATGACAAACCCAATGGGTGAGAATAATTAGCCAAGCCTCATCAGAAATCTTTGCAAAATAAGAGGAGAAATCCAGGTGCCTTCAGTACCTGAGGCTATTTTTAAGGCAATTTGTGTTTTTTCTAATTGGTTCTGAAATGAGATTATTTTTAAATTGCATCAATAGGAAGCTTTGCTCATAGCTGAGCTTTAGCCCCCTAGAAATGTGAGATATATAAGTACACATATACTTTTTTTTTTTGCGGAAATGTCTTAAGCATCATGTCACAGCACAGGGTAGCTTGAAAGGGCTGGCTAGAGTCAAGAGAAAAAAATTCAAACCAGCTCATCTCTCATGTCTGTGGGACAGAAATTCAAGTAGTAAATGAGCTACATAAGACGTGAAAACTCATCTTAAATATTCGACACAGTGACAACACCAGCCCTGAACGTGTTGCCAGCGTTTGAGACATTCGACACATTTGACAACACGTTACATGTCACACACAGACCGAGAAAACTAAAACCACCCAGGAATCACAGGAACTGAGGTTCCCAGGCAGGCTGAGCACCTGCACCAGCATGGGAAGAGCCCTCATCTTCAGTCAGTCTCAAAGGCAGTTAATTAACTAATTAGCTTGATCACTCCCCCCAGGCTTACAGGGAAGGAATAGTAAGAGCCTCTACTCCAGCTGTGGGTGGCATTTGGGCCCTTTCCCAGGTCAGGGACATCCTGGTGGGAGGAAGGTGGTGGCTCCTAAAGCAGCTGAGATCCTGTCTGCTCCCACCCATGGCAGCACCATCATGTGCATTGGATCCAGCCAGCGCGGCGCTGCTTCACGTTTTCCCGTGCTTGCGTTTTATGGTTTGGCACCTTTCTTCACCACATGAAGTTGTTTCCACCTTTGAAGGACTGTGCCATCCCTCCCACCACCACCCCCTACACAGAGTCGCATTTAGCAACTTCAAGGCATGCCTGGTATTTTTTTGAGACTTAAGCAAGAGCATTAATTGTGTTCCAGAGACATTCAGCATGCAGCAAATTAAGAAAAAAACATTTGACACCCAACATCCTATGCAATGAAGACACAGAGCTGAAAAAAACAACAACAAAAAAGCTATTTGTAAAAATCAAAGCATGTCTGTACAGAGTGCCATACACAGCCCCAGTCTGGCTGCAACGGAAAGGTAACTCCAGCCCTCTGCATCAGCTCCTCTTACACACCAAGCTCCAACAAACTTTGAAGCCTTTGCCTTACTTCATTCCCATTTCAGTAAAACCTCCTAATTCCTGGCTGTGAATACTGAGTTCTTGCTACTTGCACCCCTCACCCCTAAAAGGATGCTCCTGCAACCCACCATGGCTGGCTTGACCCACCACGGGAAGGGACTGGGTTACACAAAGACCAGCAGAGGTACAAGAGCTAAACACAGCCATCCCGAGGAGGTCAGAAAGCTTTCAGTATTCAGGTCCTCTTGGTTTTTTCCTGTGCAATACCCCTTATGTTTTCCCAGCCATAAAATTGATGTTTATCTCACTGCTAACTGCCTTACAGAGATCATTACACATTGCAAATCCAACCATTTGCAGACAAAATGAGCACAAGCAGCCTGGAAACTGTCACATCGCCCCTGTCTCCTTGCCACATTGCAGCGCGTT